CCGCAGGGCTTGGGGAGGGGGGAGGGCGCAAGGTGGAAGTTTTGCCTAGGGCGCGAAACATCCTTGCACCGGCCCTGACTCTGCCCTGAGGTTGGTACCATGCTCTTGAGTCATTGCAGGCAGCGTTACACACACTATTTACCGAGACTTAGACTATGAATACTGGGGCTAATGTACTAACTAGGAACAGATCTCATTGTGCTTAGAGGTTGGGAACGTGAATCCCAGTGCTGTTACTATGGGTTGTGTAGCCAGCTGCATTCACTCACTGGTTCTGGTTTCCTGTGGCAGAGATCCCATAGTTCTTGGAAACTGGGAGTGTAAATTTTGGTGCTTGTGCCATAAAGCAGGGATCCCACTGTGCCAAGGGACTGGCAATCTGCCTCTCAGCACTAATACCCTGGACAGTCTACTGCACTCATGGGTTGGAACTGTGCATTCCTGTGTTAGTAGGCTGAACCTGAGACGATGCTCCACTTGGATGCTGTGTATATGACTCCCACTGCTAGTGTCCTGAAGTGCAGATCCTGTTGCATGCAGTTGGAACTCAGAAACTCATTATGGACAACTGTTTATCATGCCAATGCCTCTCCTAGGTGGGAGCCAAGAACACACAATTCTCTCTGCTATCTTATTCAATATAAAACTGTAGAGAGAACTAGGAAGACTGCAAGGGCTGAGGTGCCAGCAATAAGCAGATAATAGCCAACTCTGCATCAGCTGTTATCTGCACAGTCCAACTGCTGGAAGTTGAAGTGAGACAAATTTAAATAAGGTGCAAATTTTTAACAATAAGGATCCCACAATAGAACAATTTACCTAGGACTGTGGTGGATTGTCTTTAAATGGATATATTTTTAAAAGATATGCTGTAGCTCATCCAGAAGCTATGGGCTTGATGCAGGAAATAAAATTGGTGAAATTCTATGGTCTATGCTATACAGGAGGTCAGGTGAGATGATCACAATGGTCCCTTGTGGCCTTGGAAACTATAAATCTCACCGCTTTCTTGATGTCTTGCAGTGAACAACATCTGAATGATGAGCAACTGACTAAAGCTGAATACATACAAGCCAGGTCATGCTAGTGGGAAGAAGCTAGCCAGGGATGGTCTAAAGATTGCACCTAATTTTATCTGACTTGGCTCTGGCCATAGTGATCTGTATATTTGTAACATCTAAATAAGACTGTTGCAATACTCTATATAGGAATGAAGCACTTTACCTTCAGAGAGCTTCAGCTAATTCAGAATGCATCAGCCTGTTTGTTCAGCAACGCATTTTCTGGAATGCATCACCCTGGTTCTCTGCACCCCACGCAGGGCCCCCATTGAACACAGAGCCCAATTCAGGTTCTCCATCCTGATATTCAAAGCCCTCCATGGGACTGACCCCAATGACATGAGCACTCAATCACCTCTCCCTCTGCAATTATGGCTTCACATGACAAATACCTTCTACTGAAATAATGAAATTGTCAACTGGGGGGGGGGGGGAGCGGAGGTTCATGATTATGAGGAACAGAACATTCATAGGAGCTGGGCCAAGACTATGGACCTCACTACCAGATAAAATAACATTCCCCATTAACTCCACCTCATTGAGAGGTAAAGGCAAACTCCCGCTTTGCCCAGCCTGACCCACACCAAATTCCTACTCTTTATAATAATTTACAAAAACATACCAAAACTGACCATGACCCATCCACCCCTCAGCAATGAAGAGAGTGATATCATGGCTGTCACTGAGAAGTGTTCAGATACTGTGGTGGTAGCCATCAGTATAAGAACCTGGATAGACTGGGGTCTGGGACTGTGAATCCCAGTGGTAGTGTCTAGCAGCAGACTCCACTGAGCCTGGGCATTGGTGGTATGAATCTCAGGGCTAATGTGCCAGGGTGCCAATCCCACCATACTTAATCAGTAGGAGGGCAAATCTCGGTGCTAGTGGGTCAAGGTATGATTTGCTCTGTTTTTTAGGGCAGGAAGTTTGAATCCCAGTGTTAGAGAACTGGGGCAGTTGGCATTTGCCCTAAGATGTGGGTTCTGCTGCACTTGGGTGGGGTTAGGAGGCTGGGAGTGTGAATTGCAAATGCTAGTGCCCTGGAGTTAGGGGGATGTTGAAATCATGGTACTAATGCACTTGGGCTATCCCACTGTCACTGTGCCTGGGGCTGGGAAATTTGGATCCCACATCCTGTGGGATGTAGCTGTGTTTCTTTTTGTGGATGCTGTGCTGGCTGAGACTGTGAATCCTGTGCTAGTACCCCACCGTGTTGATCCCATGGTGCTAAGGTGCTGGGAGTGTTAACCCAATGTTAATGCACTGGGATAAGGATCCTGAAGTGTTCAGTGACTGGCAATGGGAATTCCAATGCAAGTGTCCTAGGGCATAGATCCCAGTGTGCTCAGGTACTGGGCACCTGAATCCCAGGTGCCCACTGTCTGCGGGAACGATTCAGAGTGTGTGCTTTTCGGGGATGGATTTCCCTGTGCTTGGGACCAGGGGTGTGAAGGCAGTGCTTGTGCACTGGGCGCAGATCTGCATTTGGGAGCTGCGAGTGTGACCCCCTATGGTAGCGCTCTGCGGGTGCGGATCCCGGGCACCCAGGGGCTGTGTTGTGATGATTCCCGCCCCCCAATGTAACAAGTATGTTGAATCTCTCCCTCTCCATTTTTCCTCCCAGTCCCCTATGTCCAAATCCTCGGCTCTACAGTCTCCCCTGCACGCTCCCTCCAGCACAACAGGTCTCCGGGCGTGCGATGGAGCCTGGGGCCGCAGGGATGGGGGTGTTGGACAGGGCGAGAGGCATCCGCCCCGGAGCCAGGTGAGGGGTGCTCGGGGAGGACAGCTGCGGCTGGAGGCGGGGAGCGACCAGGGACGCCGAGGGGCCAGGCGGGCAGGGGAGGCGTGGAGGAAGGATGCGCCCCCCTCCCCAGCCCCGCCCATCCAGCCGCATCCCCGGGACAGTCCGCAGCGCCCGGAGCCAGGGAACAAACTCACCTTGCGGGCGGACGCCCTAGGGTCAACCGGCGCGAAGGAGCCCGGGGCTGGGGGGGCCCGGCTGGGTCGGCTGCGGCCGGTGCCTCGCATGGCCGGGCGGCTCGGCGGGGCTGAGCCCTGGCTGCAGGAGACCGAGAGACTGTCTTGAAATAAACAGCTGCCGAGGGCTGGGCCAGCCCCGTCCTGCCTCTGTCTCTCCTCGCTGGCTGCCGTTAACCCCCTGGCTGCCGGCTCGCCCGCCCGCAGCCCCGGCTGGCTGTGCAGGCAGGGCTCGGGGGCGGGCAGCCTGAGGCGGGAGAACCGAGGCTGGGGCCCCGCGGGCAGCCCAGAGCCTCAGAGCGACTGGAGCCTTATGCCCGAGAGCCTCGGTCCTGCCTCTGCCTGCCGCCGCCCAGCCCCTGAGCTCTCCCTTTTTCGCCCCCGCCCAGCCCCTGCTCGGGGGCCAGCGACCACTGCCGCCGAGCCCCCGCCGCTGAGCCTCTCCTGTCCTCCGCACATCCCATCCATCCCCCACCCTCTGGCTAGGGTGACCAGATGTCCCGATTTTATTGGAACAGTCCCGATTTTGGGGCATTTTTCTTAGGCTCCTATTACCCCCCACCCCCGTCCGGATTTTTCACATTTGCTGTCTGGTCACCCTGTCTCTGGCCCCCAACAGACCTGGCCCCCAGCTGCCAAGCCCTCCTGCTCCCTGCAGCAAGACCCGTTCCCTCCCCTGGCTCAGTCAGTCTGTCTGTCTGTCTCTTTCCCCCCGCTCATCTTGCTGCTTATTGTCAGGATCTTAACGGGAAGCGATTACGTTGCTATGGAGAGAGGTGTCTCCAAGGGACCCGTCACTTGTGGCTTGAGCGCTAGCCAGTGAAGTCAGACGCCAGAAAGGTCTGTCCTTGGGAGGAGTGATGCAGAACCTCCCCACCCACCTTGGAAAGCCCCTCTCAACAATCTTCCCGCTGGACTCACTTCTTCCTCAAACTCCCTCCCCCAGCACCTCTGCCCCCTCGAGCCTCCCCCATAATCCTTCCAAAATCTCCTCCCTCTTCCCAATCCTGTAACCTCACCCCTGTAATCTCCTCTCTCCCAAAAGACCCCCCAATACCTACCCAGAATATCCCACCTCCAGGACATTCCCCTCCTTTGGAATCTTCTGATCCTTGCCTCACGCAGAAATTACCCAGGGATTACTCCCCTAGAGTCACCCCTGGAACTCTCCCCCTTCCCCGATATCTCCTCTAAAATCCTGGACCCCTCCTCTCTGCAGCAATCCTTGTTTGGAGACCCCCCACCGAACACTTTCAGCATAGTGCCCTACCAGAATAGGACTGGCACTCTCCCATACCCAGGAGCGCCGCCAGCTTTTCTGCTGCCCTAGGCAGTGGAAGGTCCCGCCGCCGAAATACCGCCGCAGTCGCTGCCCCCCAAATTGTAGTGCCCTAGGCGACTGCCTAGGTCGCCTAATGGGTTGCGCCGGCCCTGCCCATACCCTCTTCCTCTACCAGATGCCCACTTCAGATCTCTCCTGATGCCACTGAGATCTCCCTCTCTCTAATATCCTCACTGGACTCCCCTTGCCCCAAACTTCAGATCTTCAGAATCTATTTGTCATCCTCTACATCAAACTTGGGCAACAGTTGTTATCCTTCTAAAGTAGTGAATTGAACTGTTTGCGTGTCTGGTGGTGTTTGTGCATAGCAGGGTGTGTGAGTGACAGATGTATTGTGTGTCAGTGTGTGTGTTTGAGGGAGCGCATCAGTGTCCACACTCTGTGTCTCAATGTGTATGTGCTTCTGAGTATGTATTTGGATGTGTTGCTGTGTGTATTTGGGGATGTCTGTGGAAATGTTTACATTTCAGTATATGAAAATGTGTTTGTGTGTGCCAATTTAATAGTACTTTAAATATTTTGTTGGCATGACAAGCTATACAAGTGTTGCCAAAATGTATTGAGACAGGTGTCCATCAAAGGAGAGTATGATTTGCCTAGGAAAGGGCTTCACCCTGTGTTTGGGGTTTGATTCCCTATGTCCATTTGTTATTTGGATCAATTCCTGGCTGTTTCTGTATGGGAATAGCTGTGCTTGGGGGAAGCATCTGTGCTTGTTTTGGGTAAATCTTTGAGTGTGTGTTTGAGCTAGAGGGGTCAGGTGTGTGTGTCTGAGGGGTTGGGGGGGGGGTAGGTATCAACAGGCAAATATTCCCTTCTCCACACACAAAGCATAGTCTAAATCCTGAGGGGAGCAACTGTGCAACCAACAGTTGGCAGAGGAGTGACTAGAAAGACATTTTCCATTCCAGACTCTAAAATATGAGGGAGCAAGAAAGCCATTTCCTCAAATTCTCATCTCCCAAGGGATGAGGAAAGACTCTTCCTGACTTTGGGAGACAGACAGAAAAGGTAGGGACAGCATCACACTATATAGCAACTTGCCATTGCATTAGGAATGGACATTGATGACAAGTGGACACATAGGATCATACCTCAAGAACCATGTGAAGCCTGGAACAGACTATACCCATCTTTGACAGACATATGAAGAGTCTGTGTCTGTTAAACTTTGTCAACACTTCTATAGATTGTCATGCCAATAAAGCATAGTCAATTGTTTGAGGGTGTCAGTATGTTTATTTCATGTGGGTACATATGGTCAGTGTGTGCTTTTTGTGTGTGTTTTAACATGCCTGTTTAGGAGAGTCAGTGTGTGTTTCTTGTGTCTGGAGAATCAGTGAGTGTGTGTGTGTCTGGGGGCGTCAGCATGCATGTGTGGTTGTGCGTAAGGTTGATGGTGAGATCTTGTGGGTTTGGAGGGATGTCAGGCTGTATGTTGTGGTGGGGAGGTCAGGATTTGTGTTTGCATTGGGAGAATTTTAGCGTGTGTGCATCTGGAGAGAGATCTATATATGTGTGCCTCAGAGCCCCTTACCTCTCCTCCCTCCCCATGGTTTTATGTGCAGCGGGAGGGGAGTGGGGGGGAATCCAGGCTGCTCTCCCATTCTCCAGCCTTTTCACCTCTAGGCCTCCTGGGACTTGTGCAAATGATTTGTACAAACCTCACTCTCCTAATTCTCACCACGCTCGCTTTATGCAGCCAGCGATATATAGAGGACCAGGGACACCCCACTGTGGGTGGGGGACATGGCACCACCACTTCTCCCAAAATCAGACATCTTAACCCTATGCATGTTAGCCAGGAGAAGACTGCATGCTTTCTCCCTCTCTCCCACTCCTACCTTCCCTTTTCCTGACCTAGGAGTTAACTAAGGGATATGAGGCTCCAGAAGGGGCTAAACCAGCCACTCAGGCTCCTGCTGACCTTTTCAAATTCTGGTGAATGCATTTATTATAATTGGGAAGCACAAAGAAGAGGAGAAAATTCAATCAGGAAAAAGGTCAGTTAAAGGGCGAAGATCCAAATGATGCAAAGACTAAAAATCCCCCCAAGAGCAAAAACACAGGAGGAAGGAGCCAGAGAAATAGGAGATACAGAGCAAGCCCCCCCTCCCCCCATGCCTGGAGTGAAGATAATGCAAGGGTGTCAAGAAAAGGAGAGAGATAGACAGATGAGGGGGGTAGGGGGAAAGGACGGGAGGGTGCTAGGCTGATATGTGGGTGAGATTGGGCTGAAGGGGTTATGGCGAATTTAGGGGATGGGCATTGGGGAGTTAATGTCTGGTTAAGGGACTTTTTATTTTAAGGATGTCAAGGCTGCTTCCCCACTTTGAACTTTAGGGTACAAATGTGGGGGCCTGCATGAAAACTTCTAAGCTTAACTACCAGCTTAGATCTGGTCCGCTGCCACCACTCCCAAAATGCTAATTCCCTTCCATGGGTAGCCTTGAGAGACTCTTCACCAATTCCCTGGTGAATACAGATCCAAACCCCTTGGATCTTAAAACAAGGAGAAATTAACCATCCCCCTCCTTTCTCCCACCAACGCCTGGTTGATCAAGATCCAACCCCCTTGGATCTTAAAACAAGGAGAAATTAACCATCCCCCTCCTTTCTCCCACCAACGCCTGGTTGATCAAGATCCAACCCCCTTGGA